GGTTTATTTATGTGCTTTTTATTTGCAGACTGCTGCCTGAAACATTTGATCTATCATAGATTCTATTCTAATACCAGGCATCAAGCTCTGCTTCACCCACGAAAACATTTCGATCTTACCTCTCATCAATTAAAAAGATTTTTTAACTCACAGACATAGACGTAGAATTGATAGATCAAAGCTGCATTTTCTCCCTTTAGTTTCCATCTCACTCAGAGCTCCTCTTTCCTCTTTTCTTCCAGGTTCCAGGGAGTTTCATCTGCTCCAAAGCCACCAGGAAGCCATGAGGCACCGATGCACAACAAGCCCCCGTGTTTCAGCACGATTCAGAGATCTACGTCAGTGAAAGGCGACGAAAACACCTGCTTTCTCTAAATAATCTTCATAGAGCATATTTGGAGGTTTATTCTGCTGTGAAGGATTTATTTTTCATTGTTGGAGCCTTTGCTGAGGAGCTGAATCACTCCTTTCATTTAAAGGAATGAAACTTTGTCAGAAAGGTTTTTTTTTCTGGGGTCATCAAAGGCCGAATGAAGCTCAGATCCTGATCTTATTACCTGTTTTCTAGATCTTGGGGATTTGCGGAACCTTCCTGAAGCACATCATAGCAGCGTATCACAGTCATGGCGTGCTGATGGACACGTCGGTGGAATAGAGAAGCTTTTCTCTGGAAGCCAGGGACTCTTCTTCTGCTCTCTCCAGGCGTCTCTTCATCCTCTGTGAACTCAGGAGTTCAGCTGAAACGGACAAAGTTTGTCCTGCAGCTTGTTTCTCCTCCTCTGCTTCGCTCCCCCTCGCTGCGCCCCCTCTTCCTGTCTTCTCCATCCTCCTGTCAGGCTGGCTGTGTGATGGTGTGTCCCCTCCTCTCGGCCCTGAAGACATGCCTGTACAGGAGATGGCGGTGAGTCCTGTCAAGTCCCTGCAGTGGGAGCAGTTCCCGCCCATGTCGCAGCGCCGTGTCTACTGCACTCCCGTCTACCACGAGGGCCTGCTCTACGTGCTGGGGGGCTGCAGCGAGACGGGCTTACCCCTGGACAGCGTGGAAGTCCTGGACGTGGAGAGCCAGACGTGGAGCCAGCTGCCCCCGCTCCCCACTGCGCGGGCGGGGGCTTCGGCCGTGGCTCTGGGGGGGCAGGTGATGGTGCTTGGAGGAATGAATCAGCAGCAGACCCCACTGGCCTCTGTGGAAATGTACCACCCTGATGAGGGCAAGTGGGAAACCAAGGCCAGCCTGGGTCAGCCCTCCATGGGAGTCACCACCGTGGTCAGAGGTAAGGAGCTGGAACCTTTGGCTGTTGGACGTTTCTCAGACATAGAAGTTACTCTCCATGTTCTCTAGGTGTTGTGTGGTGGTAGTGCTGTAAAATATGATTAAGATGATTTTTAGTGGAGGCATCACCTATGGTTTTACTGGTCTTACTGTCAGTGAACTGGATTCTTTCCACTTTGTTGGGTTGTTTCTTTAAAGATTTCCAGAAAATAGTTTGTTGACTTTAAGGGCTTTAAAGTTAGTGGGGGGGTTACATCCTGCTCAGTCCTGCAGATCCGTCCTCCTTGGTGGGACCAGCTGAGGCACAGCCGGTCTGTTTAGGAGTCAGTGGGAACCTCTTTTATTCAGATACCCCTGAATGAAGTGATGAATCAGCCTGCATGGATGAAATACGGAGCAGTGAAATTTGTCATCCTGTGACAGAATGTCAAGCAGCTCAGGGAAAAACAAACAAACAAGCTGCTATTTTCTATAGATAACAGCCAATATGGAGCCGTACTTCCTGCTGTTACCCTGAAAACTCTCAGCTTATTCCCTGAATATGTTAATGTTGCAACATTGCAAAAAATTTCAATCCAAGTGCATTTTTCTTGAATTGAGGAGGAAAGTGAGACCTGTTGCCAATGGAACAATTTACATTTAAAATAAGAAAAAAACAACTGGGATTGTCTTATTTCAAATGCATATTATCTAATAAAGTTATTTTAGGAATAAAAAAACTAATTTATTCTTATTTACCTGCTCAAATTGACAGTTAATATACCTAATTTACGAAATCTTTACTTATATCTAGATGTTTTTTAAATGGAAATAGTTTATTAAATGTTTGATGTTTACACACAGAGCATCATCAACACTGAACAGCATCCAGTTATATATTTTGTGTCTTTATGTCATTGAATCAAAGCGATGTGCTTTTCAGGCGAAATGTATCAATATAAAATAAAAGCAGATGTGGATCAAACAGCTGATTATTACAAAATTGATCTTTCAGTTCTTAGTATTGATTTAAAAAAAAACACTGGGCAACCTCTGCACCGCCACTCTGGCAGAGGGCGCCATGGAGCCCCTTAGCTGTGCGGCGCGGCACCATCTCTGTAGTTGAGGCCGTCACAGTGGAAGACATGGACTGGCTCAGACCCCAAACAACATGGATACCAAAATAACTGAATGATCAACATCTTCTGATAAATATGGAGAGAACTTGCTTTTTTATCTCTACACTAATTTTGATAACTGGGAAAAACATTGCAATATATGGTGATATTGCAATGTTGTGATGATATTTTATTGTGACCCAAGTATTGCAACACTAAGGTGACCAGATTCCTGAAATCCAATCTGACATTTCCGGCTCGTAGATAAAAATAAATACATATAATTACAATTAAAATAGGAAATAGGGGCAGTAATGCTTTCATGCATTTTTACATATTTATTCATATTTAAACAACAAAAATCAAGTGTAAAATCCAGGACTGTGCCTCTCCTATAAGATTAATAAAATTAATCAACTGATAGCTTTTTAGAAGTGCCATATGGTCATTCAGTCTCCTCTGTCTTCTTCCCTCTCCATCTTCTTTACTTTTTTTCCAAATGACTTCTACCTGCTCTTTGTTTTATTCTTCTAAGTAGATTTTTCTTACTTTTCTTCAACTGTTCTTTTCTTTTTTCTATTAGTCTTCTAATCTTCTTCCTGTCCTCTTCTATCAATCTTACGCTAATCTAAAACAGGGACATAATACAATCCAAATCCCTCCCAAACACATATGATCTCATCATACATATTATTATTATGATGTTGGTGAGTATGTTATTATTATATTCTCACCTAATAAAATACTACAAAGGCTAACCACCACAATATTTGGAGCTACAAGTAAAAACTGCCTAATAATTGAAGATTAAACAGGCAGTTATCCTCTGTCATTCTCAGATCATGCAGATCTTGTCTCATTCAGTTTTCCTTTTACTGCCTCTCGTTTATTATAATGATAATAATCTGAAGATATAAACTGAAGGTCACCGATCACTTCTAAAAATATTTTTAGATGAACTCCATAGAAGGAATTTTTGATTATTCGGTTTTATTTTATTGTAATCTATTTCCTCATGCCAGCTTCAGCCATTGTTACGTCTTAATTTGTTGATTAGCTAGGTTCATGTTACATTAGCGTTCCTTATCTTTAGTAAAACAAACAGCCTTTTTTATTAACCTGGACATGAACCAAACATTTATGTTAGGTTTATTCAATGATGATTATAAAGTTAATGTGTGTACATATGAAACATTGGAGAAATGAGAGGCTAATCACAGTTATCAGAAGACCACTCTGTTCTGTGATTCAATCAGAGGAGCATTCTGTCCTATGACCTGATCAATTGCCTTGTCAGAAGAACACTCTGTTTTGTAACCCACCCCATGTGTTATGATCTGCTAATAGAAGACGACTGCAGGAGGGGGGTCGCCAGAAAGAGTTGAAAGTTGGGTTGGGCTCTTTCCACTCCTGCAGGAGCTGTTTGAATCTCTTTCCTGTGTGGACTCAGTTCCTCTTTTACGAACCTACATTTTTGAACCTAACAATTTATCACAATGATCTGCCCAATTTAAATCAAATGATTAACACACTCACCATAACACAGGGCAACTTTGACCGGTTCTGATAATGAAATTCTTTGTCATTTTTAAAAGTGATGGCCTCTGCTTCTCATCTATATGTTAACAGCTGCCAACCAGCTAGCTAACAGCTTTTTTTGCATGCAGCATGCTCAAATGCTCTTTCTACCATAATAATAGTCTACACATAATATTTTCCCCTTCATTCATAAAAGGGTAAAACCAAGGACAGCTTTAGCTGGGGACATGTGGTCCAAAACGGGGACCGTCTCTGGAAATCTGGGACGTCTGGTCACGTTACACAACACCCATGCAGATACTCACCCCTACCAGACAATATACCAGACATGTCCGCCATGTCTTTGCTATGGTTCTGATTCTGTCTGCTTTCGGTCCTTACCGTCAAACCAACATTCATCCAGTACAGCCTTTAGAGTTACTGTCGGGATTCCCGCCACCTGGCTCAGGCGAACCCATCCTCTGACATCCAGTGAGCTAAATGAGTCGTTAAATGGTCCTACCAAGAGGCTGAAGTGTCTCTTTAGTGGTTGGAGTTGAGAGCTGCTGAGATTCCCTGCTGCTTATGAAAAGTGACAACGCGCAGCGCTCTGAAGGCGTCCCAGTTGTCAGCTGGTTGAGAGTAACATGATGGAACTGGGTGGAGATGTCTGTTTGTCGTCATAGAGGATTTCTGATGTGGAAGATTCCCACTGCTGCAGGGGGCAAAGAGTGTCTGCTTGTTCTCCATCTTCATGATAATGAAGATTTTTATCAACTCTGTAAACTTCTGTCAGGAGTTATACGTGTGTAAAGCTGTGCCTTCTAATGTCATTTTATTCATTACAATAACAAAGAGGGCTTCTTCTGACAAGTGAAGGGACATTAAAAACTGCTGCAGTAAAAGTTTTGGAAAAAATGAGCTAAAAATTAAGTGTTT